TGCCGTGTACTTGAGCCAGAGCCTTGCAGACGTATGGTTTGTCTATTACTATCTCGGCCGCATCCACACTGACGTACTGAGGGTCCCCGTTTTCGGCCGAGGCATAGCTAACCGTGGGGTTCTTATATAACGTTCCCCGTGATGGTGACTTCGATATCTTTTCTTCTCGGAGCAGATAATCATACTGTTCGACGTGTTGAGCAAGTTCGTACATATCGCGAATGTTTGCCCCCAGGAACTTCTTTTTGTACTCCACGTCTAATCCGTTGAGAGCAATCCTGACGAATTCCACTTCGGGGAGTGGTACTCGGCACCAATTCCTGGCCGACTTGAACCTTGTTAAGTACTCCATTGGAGATTCGTCGGATGCTTGAGCCATCCTGGCCAAGGATGACACTGACATCTCCATCCCTGGCCGATAGAATTGTTCATGGAACTTTTCGACCAACTCCTCCCAACTCTGCACAGAATTGGGTGGAAGATTAATGTACCAGGCGAAAGCGGAGCCTGTCAATGAAAAATTAAACAGACGTAGTTTGTAGAAGTCGCTATTAACGTCTCCACACTGCGCCGTGAACCGAGCCACATGTTCTAATGAGGACAAAGACGATTCCCCGGCGAAAAGGCTGAAATCAGGGATCTTAAATCCTCGTGGGTATTCAAACCTTTCTACGTAAGCCGGGTATGGATGAATGAATTTTGGAAACTTCGGCCCTTTCTTCAGGGCCGAATCAATCATTCTCTGGACCTCGGTCATGTTCACGGAAGCGGCTTCTTCTCCCTGGCTTGGTCTCTCGGATCTATTTCCTGGTCCTCCTCTGTCTAAGGAGACCGGTTGCGGTCGAGCGTACGCTCTCTCGGCTGGTGTGGGCACGTTCGTCGAGAGCTGCCGAGGTTGGCCGACCTGGCCATCTTCGAAGGCTTTACTAACTAATATTTCAAGCATTCTGGTCTGTGTATCGTTGTTACTTCGTATTGCTTCTAGCAAATCATTCATCTTTTGACCAATCGACTGCTCGACCTGACGACACTGCTCATCAAGTCGTCTCCGAAGAAACGACCTAGTTGGTGGATCAGAGCCTTCTCCACCATCGTCATCGCAGTCTTCCACTATCCCCTCCACAAATATGGGCGTTGTTTGATTCGGGATCGCCGCGTTGTGAGGTTGCCCGCCGAGACAGATCTCATTCTCTCGGCGTGTCACACTTGTAGCCTCGGGAGGCGCAGCAATGATCGGATTTTTGGTTGGATGTGAATCCTGCCCAAGGCCTTGCACTGGTAAGTCGGCTGTTGACTTTCCCATGTTTGTTTTCTTTTTGGTAGACCGTGTCTCTACGGTCATGAACTCCGAAGGTTTAGCACAAGGTCCCACTGGGCGTGCCAAAATGTTGGCTACAAAAATTACAAAACCTACGTGGCGCGCAGGCCGAGTAACTAATGAGCTAACTACGTCCTTCGGTTGAATGCGGGGCGTGCCAACTCGTCGGCCGAGCTCGGCCGAGGAGTAAAATGTGATGTCGCGTTGGGTGCGCTATCGACTTCTGTATCTTGCGATTGCGACCGAGGAAGGAACGCTCTCGGTCTCTGGGTTCTATAGCCTGAAGACAAGGCTACTAATTCTACGGAGTTCACAGGTCGTCGGACCCTGATTCGGTCACTGTGATTATATTCGTAAAAGTATAAGCACGCCGAATCGAGACCAAACTATATGGGCACAGGTACTCGAATGTGATGTATGTCTTGATGGTAAACGTAGTTCGGCCGTCGGAATGCCGAACCCTGAAACTTACTTGCGAGTATCCAATCATAAACTCACTCGACGTCCAATACGCCGAGCAATGCAACTCGTAACACCCAACTATGCCGAAAAGGCTTAGTTAGATGACCTCCACCAACAAAGGTTCGAAAACCCTTCTCGGCCGAGACTTAGATAGATAATCGGTCGACCTCGACGCAGTGCTGTTTATCCAAACTGAAGGTGTTTCTCGGTCGGCTGATTCTGCGGCGGTAGTGCTGTTTATCCAAACTGAAGGTGCTCACCGGTTGCTTCCACAGTGCTGTTTATCCAAACTGAAGGTGTGTCGGCAGGAAAAAAAAATGAAAAATCTCAAGGTGTTTGAGAGGTTTTGCGCAGGGCAATTGTATGCTGATTGTGAAAGGCCTTTTCTATTGCGTAATTTCTTGTATTTATAGCACTTCGCTCCTTGATTCCCATTCTGATTTGGATTGGGAGTCCTTGTCCCATCTCACCTTTAACTCAAACAATCCTAGTCCTACTGGGATTCTGAATTCTCCTCCTTTTGAGGCTTTATCCCTTGCTGGTCGAGAATCCTGGTCGCATCAGGATTTCCTCGACCTTTCCTCATTTATCTGGACTACTTAAGATAGGATCTGGCCGACCCTGCCAGCTGGTCCGAGTCTCATTATTTGGCCCATAGCATGTGTTATTACCTTGGGCCGAGCACATCCTGCTGCTCGGCCCAATCATAATATTTTGGGCCCAAACAGTTATATCAACTATCAAAACAACAGTACAACACCCGATTTTAGATTAACAAAGGGGTATTAAAAGAAAAGAAAGTAATTATAGCGGAAAATGATTTCTGCATACTCATTTCTCTCCTTATGATTTGTTCTTTAATTTACCTTGAATTTGTTCAGTCTAAATGACCAACCTAAATAGGAGTGTTAGTGAATTAAATGTGTGCATACAAAACACCTACCTTCTTATATTTGAGTCCGACGGTGAAGGTAGTTTTGAGTTTTCTCAAATATATACACGTTTTAAACAATTATGCATGTGCGTTGTATAGATGGCCTAAAAGATAAGATATTGTAACGAAACCTAAATATAAATTTCGATTTTACATGAAACCTGTATGTGAACCGATATTGTGGAGAACACAAGTCTAAGATTTGATACCAATATAACTTTTGAGTCTGAATTTTTCGACACTTTGAAAGGAAGTGAGGATAACATTTGGAAAAGTTCAGCGGAAAATCAAGGACAATAATTGAGCACATGGTTGATGAGAAAAAGATAACGATTGGATAACCAATCAGACGATAATCAAACCCCACATATCTTTCAAAATTTGCTCTATACAAATACATCAAATGACGAAAACATTAATTGGATTTCATGATTAATCATCCATCTTTCGTACCCAAATTTGCCACCGGAGGGAGAGGGAGGGATGAGTAATGCTTGCTCGCATGTAAAGCAAATAGAGCACAACAAACACAAGACATCTGGCAACTTTAGTTGACCCATCATTTGTGATGCGATAGATGAGAAAAGTAGAAAACAATGACAAAGATTTCAAGTCATCACCTGGCTTAGCAAATTATCACTCTACCTAAACACACAAATAAGATAAGCACGGGACCAATGGATCACGCGAAGACCTGTACACTTGTATTTTGTTGGACAAGTTCAAGTCCCACAAATACAAAAACAACGTGTATTTTATTGCACACAAATACAAAAACAACACATATTTTGTTGTGAGTTCGTTGTTAAGTGCCTATTTGAGACTGCTCTTGTATAAAACAATAGGTTTTTTAGCCTTTAATCAATGAAAACGGTACTAATTAGCTATATATCAATGACCAATTTTTATTTTGAACTTAATCAATGCAATTTTTCATTAATTAGGTCCATATTAATACATATTAAAAAAATGAAACTTTATTTGGTGCTCATATGCTCTGTGTATGTAGATGTCCCTCTGCAAATGAGAATTTATAAGAGCTTTGAGACTTTAGAGCGTAATTGAACAAAAATATACGAAAATGAAAAAAGATAGAAATTTTATTGAAAATTATGAGTTCAAACCACAACCTGATTTGAACCAAACCACTCGATCGAGTTCAAACAACCACCACGCATACAACCATTCAAATCCTAAAAACTTTAATACAAATATCCACCCAAGAACCAAACCGCTTGATCGAATTCAGATCCTTTATACTAATTTGCAAAGGTTATTGTTATTTTTTCTTAATAATTAACAACACTTAAAAAAGACAGAAAATTTATTGAAAATTCTAAGAATTGAGAAAAAATAAAATGGTATGAAGTGTAGATGGCGTGTAAGTGCAGTGTTTGAATCAAAATGTGAAAAATATAACGAGAAAACAGACAATGCAATGCATTACAATGTCTGAATCCAAATGTAAAAATGAAACAAGGAAATGCACATTGCATTACAGTGTCTGAATCCAAATGTAAATGAGTCGCACGGGGTGTGAAGTGTATGAGGTGAATGAGTAATGGAAAAAAACAAAACCAGAAAAAGAAGTTTCTGAATTCAAATATAAAAAACAAAATCAGGCATTGAGTATCACAATACATGAGTGAACTCTTTATAATTAACATAAATATTGTTAACTATGTTGCTAATATTTTAACTTTTATTGATCTAATTCAAAATCACCCCAAACTATGCTCATAAACACTTTTACTAATTATAAAGGGAAGTGTTATTGACATTCCAAAAATCATATTCTACTCTCCTCACAAGTGTATTTTTCTTTCCAAATATAGAAAGTATGGAGTGTAAAATGAGATTTTTGTGCCAATAACAATTCTTATTATAAATATGTTAAAACTTTTATTATAAATCAAGTGCTTCTTTAGGAGTTCAATTTTTTGAAGAACAAGACTTGGCTGCTGAAGAATCAGCAGCCCGTCCTGCTGAAGAATCAGCAGCCCGTCCTGCTGAGAGCCAATCACAGCTGAACATGTGTTTAAGTTAATATTTTTTTAATCACAACTTAAACATGTATCGCACAATGATAGACCTTCAGCAGGATAGACTGCTGATTCTTTCAGAATTAAATCCTTTTTTGAATATGCTCCTGCCATGACCTGAAAAGCACTTCTAGAATCGAGAAACACTTTTAAATGTTTATTGTAAACATAATTAAAAGTAATTGTGACAGTAACCCAGATCAAAATTAATTGAGTCAATCTTATGTACAAGTTTAGCAACCCATTGTAAAATTACTTCATATATATTCACATTTCTAAAAAATTAAATTAATAAATAAAAGGACAAGCTTATGTGACGTCTTCACACAAATTCACAGTTACACTTATCACCGCACAAAAGACAAAGAGAATCAGAAAAAACAGATAAAAACGACAGCAAGGGACATCATGCGACGGCTTTTAAGCAGTGGCTACAAGCTCGGGCCCAGTTTCCTATTCCACCTTAATTAATCGAAACAACACTAACAATTAACAACACTAATCACGATTAAACCAACACTAATCACGATCTTAATCTTAATCGATCAAGCCGCCGTAGAATTCTCGACGGGGGATGTCCACACGATGTCCTTGAGCGCTGGCCGCAGCTCCTTGCTGCAGAACTGGTTGTACTCCAACGTATCACCATTGTCCTTCTTCACCTCCACCACTAGTAACGACGGCGTCATGGCGAATATCTCCGCCGCTATCGCCAGCTTCCCCTTCCGCCCGCTCTCCTGCCCCTGCAACCTCACCATCGAATCGCTCTTCTTTATCCTGAACTTCCCCGCCACCGCCACCTCCTCCAGCTTCGAAATCACGCTGCTTGCCGGCCGCGTCGTTGCGAACCGCAGCTCTTCCCTCTCCTCCCGCTTCTTCTCCTCGAACAGCGGCGACAAATCGAACCCCTCCGACAGCGAGATTATGTGAAACGCGTTCAGCGTCTCCGTCTGCTTCGACAGGATCTTCTCGCTCGGCTCGTCGAACTCCTGCTCCTGTTTCGTCCGTACGATCTTAGGAACCGATTTTTTGAACCAGGAGGAGTCCATGACCTTGGAAATGGTGATTCGGGTACTTGGATTCGGGTCGAGAAGCTTTGTCACGAGTCTTCGTGCCTCCGACGATAACCACGGCGGGCATTTGAAATCTCCTCTGTAAATCTTCCGGTACATGGCCACGAGATTGTCGTCTTGAAACGGCAAAAACCCGGCGAGAAGCACGTAAAGGATGACGCCACAAGACCAGAGATCCGCCTTGGCACCATCGTACCCTTTTTTCCCGATGACCTCTGGGGCCACGTACGCCGGCGTGCCGCATGTGGTGTGGAGAAGCCCGTCCTGCTTCAAGTGCTCTGTGAAAGCACTGAGTCCGAAATCGGTGACCTTCAAATTGCCGTCCTCATCGAGGAGGAGGTTCTCCGGCTTCAGATCCCGGTGGTAGACGCCGCGGCTGTGGCAGAAATCGATGGCGGAGATGAGCTGCTGGAAGTACACCCTGGCGACGTCTTCCTTGAGCCGACCCTTGGCGATTTTGGCGAAGAGCTCGCCACCGCGGACCAGATCCATAGCGAAATAGATCTTGGACTTGCTCGCCAAGACCTCGTGGAGCTCGACGATGTTGGGGTGTTTCACCATCCTCATCACGGAGATCTCCCTCTTGACCTGCTCCATCATCCCCACCTTGATCACCTTCTCCTTCCCCACCACCTTCATCGCCACGTTCTTCCCGCTAGGCAGGTGTCGGGCGTGGTAGACCTTGGCGAAAGTGCCGTGACCCAGAAGACGGCCCAGCTCGTACTTGCCGTGCAGCAACGACGAGCCGCCGCTTTCTTTCTGCTCGGCCATTGTTAACTAAAACAAACTTTAAAAAATGCACGAAAGGTGTTTGACAAAAGGCCTCTTTAAGAAAAAAAACGTAACCGTTTCGGAAAACAAGAGGGGCGAATGGATCACCCGTCCTCTACGTGTTTCCGGTGGCAATTCCGGCCGCCGATGCAGCGCCTGACACGTACTGAAAGCTCAGGCTTGGGCAGCCAAACTTCTCTCATCTCTCTGCATTCCCTAACCACCTTCAGCTTGCTAAGCCGGCTTAAATTTTTAAGGTTTCTGAAAGCACCACCGTTCGCGGCGTCTGAACTCTTTTGGGTTTTGGCCTCTCGCTCTCGCTTTTTTGTCCTTTTTTCTCCATTCATCTCATGGCCTCCGTTTATATAATGCTCTTTCTATCCGAATTACGATTTTACCCCCGTCTTGGCTTACCGCATACCTCCTGTGCCAGTCGGTTTCAAGCCACTTGTATAGGGTTACGAGTCAAAACTCGCTTGGTTGTTAATTTCTCCACAGCCTGGGGTGAGCAGAGGTGTGTTGTTACGTTTCTATCCTTGTTGCTTTTGCCAATGCTTGGCCCCTTTTTTCTTATATTTATAATCGTATGGGCCACGTGCATTTTTTGGTGATAAGCTTTCCCCGACTAATGTTAGTGATGATACGAGACATGCAACCACCATATGGGATAAGTAGCTGCAATTTCATTTTTATATAAAATTATGATCTTGGTCCCTCCTAATGTTTACTAAGTGCTGGTTTGGTATTGTTGTGCTTTGAAAAAAAGTTGTTTTTGCTGCTGTGAGAATAAGCAGCTGAGAAATAAAGCAGCAGAGTGTTTAGTAAGCTTTTTTGTAAAAATGCTTTTGAAAAAAAAAAAAAACAGTATTATAGTGTTTGGTAAATTTTTATGTAAAACATATGTGAAGAAAAAAAAAGCCAATTTTTCAATGCTAGGTTTTGCAGCTTCTTGTTTTTGTCTTTTTTTCATCCAAAACTGTGAAAAAAAACTGAAGTTGAATGTTTACCAAACACAAAAACAGCTCCCAGCTTTTTTTTATACCAGCTTTTTTCAGAATCACTTCAGTACCAAACCAGGCCAAAGTTTCATTTTAGTCTCTATAGTTTGATTAACAGTAATTTTCAAAAGGATAGTTTGATTTTACTTGGTGAAACCAAATTTTAAACCCTTGCAAACCAAATGATGTGTCGCCAATACGAAATAAGCACATTAATCTACGCTCAAGTAATGATAAGTATGATTGTAGTCCTTGTATTGTTGGTGAACTTCCAGTTTGGTCTCTGTAAACTAGTTTGAATTGAAACAATGTTTCAGTTTGTTGGAAAGATCCACGACGTGAGTTTATCACATCTCGGCATATGTAATTCACGAACAATACCAAAACTTTTGACAAAAATTAAGGACATGTTTACTTACAAAAAATAGAAATGAGAATCAGTTTGATTCTTCCCTACGTTTATTAAAACATGGGTAATGCAATCAGCTTATTCCCTAACTTTTTTCTGCATTTACTTGCACGAAAGAAATTGAAAAATTATAAGTTTTTCATTTATATCCATAGTCAAATAACAAAAATAAAAAATGGGACTGATGTTTTGATTCTCTTTTCGTACGTCTTCTATTTTTAAGGTTATTGATTCATTCGATTTTTCATTTTTGCTAAGTAAACATATGCACTAAAATGTTATCTCTGGATTCGAGTGAATTTCAAAATTTAATTGGCGAAAATTGATTCTATACGAACTATAGTGAAACTTGGTTACAACTAGAGGGATTAAAATCATAATTTGCATTTTATATTGTTTAAGATGGTAATAAAGTGAAGTTAAAAGAACGAGTGGTGATTACGTGGAGCGTGAGAAGAATATCCTTTCTTCATTCCTTTGGGTTGCTTTCAGTTTCACGTATGTCCAAGTCTATTCAAATTTCTTAGGTCAAAGTGCATCTCCAGAACCTCTCCACTCACTGATCGACGCGTGCTCCCAATAATCGGAGGTGGAGCCTACGCGATTCTGACTTTGTCAGTTGGTGGAGTAAGTGGTAACTCAGATGAGGACCTCATGCATGGTCCCATCTGATTTAGGATTTGAATCTTGGGAGGTGTTAAATATTTAAGTTTTTCAAATGAAAATATAGTGTAAAACGTATAAATAAATTTTAGGGGAAACTTAATATGAGTCCAATTTTACGATCCATTATTAGTTATAGTCCAATTTTGTTTAATTTTTAGGTTAGGTCCAGTGATTCATTATCCACATAAACTTATTTGTATTCTTTTGCCAAATTTACCCTTAAATTGACCAATTAAGTAATTACTGTTTTTTTTAAGTTTGTGATTAATGTTAATCTTATCCTTAATTATAGGATTAGGGATTTAAATCTCCTTTTTTTCTTCTCCTTCCCCAAATCGTTCATTTCTCTTTTCTTGTTTCTCCCTCACAATATCTTTCTCTTCCTCCGTTATTTTTCCCAGTAGTCTTCTACCATAATATTCTTCTTCTGCTCCTCCTTTCATAAGGATGATTTGATTGGTTTAAAAAAAAAAAAATTGTATTAGTCAATCTTGTGCTTTGGGTTCTTCGTCTCTTTTTTTTTTTTTTTGGCTTCATTCTCCTTTTTATATATATATTTTTAACTTTGAAGTTCTATCGAATTAGCATTTTCTTTAGTGTTTCCTCCCTCAATATCATTTTTCTTCACGATTTTTTTTAATTTTTTATCTACCTATATCACTTTTCCTTTTTTTTTTTTTTTTTTTTTTTTTTTAATCTTTTTATATTATATTGTGCATGTATCATGAATAATACATATTTTGTTGATAATCTATCTAAGATTAATTATGTTTATCTACCTATATATCACAAATTAACTGAGTTATCTACCTATACAATAAGTTTCTGTTCATAGTCTATCTGTATCATAGATTATTTTGTATTATCTATCTATACAATAGGTTTTTGTTCGTAGGCTACCTCTATCATAGATTCTATCTACATCACAAATTTTTTATCTACCTCTAGCAATGTTTCTTTTAATTTTTTATAAACTTATAAAATTTGTAATAATGTCTTTTTAATTAGAAAACAGGTAGATAAAGGTATTTGAAGATTCAAATTTTAAAAATTCAAATTTAAAGAATTTAAAAAAAAAAATTCTAGGAGCAAAACAGGTGCAATAGAAAATCAAATAAAATTGGACCCAATTCAAAAACAGCTGAATTTTTTGGACCTGAATCAAAATGCCCCTAAATTTTAATTTATTCACAAAGACATTTTATTAAACATTTGATGGGTTTGTTATCGTCAATCGAACCATGTTAAGTATATGTCAATACATATTAACATTTACGAAGCAATCTGATGAATATTATTAAAAGCATTTGTCAAGTGTTGTCGACACAACCTATCAATTATTATCAAGATATGTTAACATGTATTACATTAAACAATTAGTAAGTACAAAAAACACCGGTATAAATCATTATGAGAATTTCAAAAACTTTACACTGTTATTTTCCGGACTCTGAATATTTCTGAGAGCACCTTGGTCTCCTAGTGCATCCGCCCTAGCCCGACCTACGACCTAACCTTTTATTTCATCATGTGCTTGCGCTAAAATTCATTATCCAAACCTAGAAATTTGGTTGTCAATCCCTTTGGAACATAAAATAATGAGCGAAGGATGACGTGTTTGCTCATCTCAAATTGTTGTCAAATTACTTCGGTTTATGATGTTTGAATTATGTACGTATAAAGTTATAATTCTTGTCTTGAATGGTTTATTATTTGATTTCATAAAAAAAAAAAATTATATAGTTTACACCTAATTAAATCATGACACTCTAATAAAAATGTATTTACCGATTCACCGTTACCTTCATGTGTAATCCGTCAAAAAGTAATTTTACATGAGTAGACGTCATCTCACATCGAAAACTCTATACCTTTTATGATAAAATAGATTTTTGAATTCCTCAAGCATTGCAACAAGAGAAAACGAAAAAGTGTAAACACTACCATGGTAGATGATATACCATGATAATGTTTATACAATTATCGGTATTTGGACTTTGAAATTTGACTAGGGTCAATTATTTACATTACGAGAAATGACTCTGTCTGCAATTTGGCCGCTATAATAAGGTCAAAAAGGTTTTATCCTTTTATCTTCAACTTGATCGGGCCTACATATATGGCCATGGATCATGAGAGCCACACAGACTGAGAGACAGAGAGGGATGGTTGTATTGGTGGTGACTTGTAGCCGCAGGCTGAATGCCTGAATCCATAAAAAAACACGACCAGATCGAGGACTTGAACCACGAGATACATAGATATATAGCTTCTGCATGTATTATTGCATCCATCTGTTACTGTTACTTTATTTGTCTTCAGAACAGCCAACAACTTGCATGTGTATACAAATGGATTTTCTCACAAATATCTTCGATTTATTTAGTAATATATATAGCACTTTGTTGTTTTTCCAACTCTAATTTAGTAGTAATATTATTTTGATGACAACTAATACATTTTCTGTTGTCTGCCAAAAGATGATAATGTGACACTATTTTACTAAATTAACGTTATAATTAAAATCGTATATTCTTGTTATTATTATTTGTTTATTTTCTTTTTTAGTTATTTGTATGAATAAAAAAATTGACGTTCGTCTTCATTGTGCATTTGTGCTACTTTAAATTTTGTGGCATCTTTTGGTTGGTCTAGTGGTCCAGCAATGCCAGTTATGAGGACGAACTTATACATATTAGCACTTTTAATTTATTTTAATGAAATATATGAAATCTGATTATGTGGGGCGAATATCAAAGTGACCATGTTCTTATCTTATCAACCTTCCAGAATTGGATCTCATCCGGATCTACTTTGTGAATCATATGAATTTTCATATCTTAGTTATTTATCATGTAATTGTACGGTCATAAATTATTTGATTTTTTAATTTAAAATTAAACATCAATAGTATATGACGAAAACTGATTGCACGATGTACAATGAACGATTAAAATATGAGAATCCCCATAAAATGAATCCGAAGAGAATCTTCTTCCAAGCACAAAAACAAGTCTTGTTTTAACAACCTTCCAAGCGCAAAGCACTGATATCATCGTGACATGAAATTCACATGCTGCTTCTGTGCAGAAAGTGGCAGTCAATTAAGTTTTTCTGTTTCTGCTGAGTCTTGTGTGGTGTGCAAATAGCAGACCGCAGGGTTAAGACGATGAGAAATTGCCAGGAACCACAATTGGAGTTTCTGGGCGGCTGCATGCATGCATGCTTAGGTTTGAACAAATATTAATTGAGTGAGGGTGTGGGGAAGTTGCC